GATGCAGGGCTCGATCCCAGGACCCTGAGACCATGACCTGAGCCGAAGGCAGCAGCTTAACCCACTGAGCCACCCAGGCGCCCCTCAGCCATGTTTTTAAAATGGTGTGTGGAAGACAGGGCAACAAAGGCAAGGCAAAGATGGATTACAAACTCATGATAAGGTGTTGAGTTCGAGCCAGGAAGTTTGGGATTATTCTAAAGGGAATGAAGAGGTACCAGAGTCTCTGAGCAGGGCTACAGGATAATGAGATTTACTTTCAGTGCTGGCATTTGATCCTCCCTCCCAGTCAGCAGGGGAACCTATGTGCATTCCTTCCACTCTGGGGCTCAACTTTCTCTTTCTTCTGGTAGAGTCCAGAGCCTCAGAACCGTCTCAGCAACCTAAGCAACCCGCCTTCCTCCCTATCTTTCCTGTCATTTCTCTGTTATTCAAGACTGTGGAAGAGGACCCAAAGGGAACACATTTGCAGTCTGACTTGGCAGACCCAATTCAAGCCCACGGTGCCTCTGGCCCTAAGTAACCGTAGCATAGGACTCCACACTCCCTCATCTCCTAGAAGGCGGGAGGCAGTCACACACAAATGGGAAGCCGAGATAGAGGGATGCAGCCCAAGAGAAGTTGGAAGAGCTTGCCTGAGGACCACACTGCCTGGTTCCTCTTTGGCATCTCAGGAAGGGCATTATCCTATTGCTCACTGTTCTTTATGGAGATTTTGAATCTAAAACACAAGTCATTTAAAGCCGTGGTTTTGGTTTATCAAGTGGATGCAAATAAAATCATTTGCCTACTTAACTTTTTTTTTTTTTTAAAGATTTTATTTATTTGAGAGAGATCACAAGTGCGGAGAGGGTCAGAGGAAGAAGCAGACTCCCTGCTGAGCAGGGAGCCCTACACCAGACTCAGTCTTGGGACTCCAGGGTTATGACCTGAGCCAAAGGCAGTCACTTAACCAACTGAGCCACCCACACACCTTTGACTTTTCTTTGGATGCCACTGTCTCTAGCCAAAGCTCAGCTTCCTTCATGGTGGGGTTGAATTCCACCCTTGTCCTGCTGTTCAGAGCCAAATCAGGCCTCCGTGTGCTCATCCCATTGGCTCTGCCCCCTCTTTTTGCTTGGGACACTAAACTCCTGCCTGTCTTCCCAGCCTCTACTCTGCTTTCCTTATTCTGCCAACTGTGCTGTGGTTGAGGATAATACTTCCACAGGATTGAAAATCATCCCCTAAATAAAGACCAGAGTCGGGTAACAAAAATCCTATCGATTCTACTTAGTAGGTTCTGGGAGGATTATAAATTTGAAGATCATTCAATTCAAATACATCCTGAACACTGGGCCATCTCATTCTCTGGCTCTTTCCCCACCAGCTCTCCCTCTTTTTGAACAACCATAACCACCACAGGGGCGGCCCTCCCCAGGGGCTCATGGGGACTGGGAACGAAGTCTGTATTTGCCCCAGCCTCACCTCCAGCACGTCGGTGCAGCCAGATACCATATCCCAGCCAAGAGGACCCTCTTGCCTGCTTCTCACGGCCGGGGCTGAGGGTGCCTAACCCCAGGCTGTTCAGGGAGAGAATGGACATGAGAACGAAAAGGGAGGGGAAGGCTGGGGAAAAAGGAGAGGAGATCCAAGATATATCAGTCTCCGTGTATTCTGGATCATTTCTATGAACCCTTTGTGACCCCATGACAATTGTATTTACCATCACGTTGACACATAATTCTGGAGAATTTTGTTTCTGCTGAAAGGCTGGAGGAAAACTGTGCTGGTATTTAATGTTCACTAGACTGGAGCATCTTTGTTTTATTTAACGCCAGTCTCTTGCTATAAATATATGTGAAGTCTTAAACCCAGAGACCTGGAATGAGAGAGTCAACTCAGATTTAATCTGGAATGAAAATTAGTTTGGGCAGCACCAATCTCAGGATGGTGTTTTGCTTTTTAAGTCCAAAAATGTGATGTAAAGTAAAATAAGCAACATTTTGACTGGAAGTCTTTATATCTGAAAAGGTGACAAGAATTTCGTTGTTCTTAAGTAAAATGTAGGCATTATTTCTATAATGGTAGGTGACAAGTTCTAAAATGAAATAAATCTCTTTGAGGTATTTATTAAGACAAATGGATTCGTAATTGTTGTTAAAATGTAAACTTCAAAAAAAAAGTAAACTTCATTTATTGTTTCCCCTGAAGCGGGTTTAGTGTATGCACTAAAGGGGTAAGTGACATTTCCTTGATATTATCTGTGCCCAGTTTCTATTTTTTTATTGATACATGGACCTGAAGGATGTTTTCTGCATTATGTATTTATTTTGCTTCTGATATTAGGAGAGTGAATAAGCGTGAGATCGAGAGTGACAGAAGGAGCAGTGCACGACAGCCTCTGCAATCGTTGTAAACATGGGGTGCAATCCACTTTTAAATGGACTCATGGGGAAAAAAACCCCACAGTACAATTAGAACAAGTGGGCATTTTGATCACTCTTTTACTCTGGCTGGTGATATTAAAATTAATTTCACGAGAGATAGTCACATAACACAAGGTTGCAGTGAGAAGGGAATGGTGTTAATCCGAAGCTAAACACGATGCTGGTGTTTGAGGGACGCTGTTTTTACCTCGTAGGTGTGCATTTATACTACGTCGGGGGCGAGGTGTACGCCGAGTGTGTGAGCGACAGCAGTATCTTCGTACAGAGCCGGAACTGCAACTATCAGCACGGCTTCCACCCAGCCACCGTGTGCAAGATCCCCAGCGGCTGCAGCCTCAAGATCTTCAACAACCAGCTCTTCGCTCAGCTGCTGGCGCAGTCGGTTCACCATGGATTTGAAGTCGTCTACGAGTTAACGAAGATGTGCACTATCCGCATGAGCTTTGTTAAGGTAAGGATGCTTGCTCTCAGATAGTAAGATAAAAGAGGACAAACAAAGTAAAACAAACCAAAAAGCATCTCTTGGGTGTGTGGCGTCTATACCGCCCATTCGAGTAGGAAACAGGGTTGTTGTTGTTGCTTTGGGGGGTTTCTTTTGGAACTCTGTTCAGGTATTTCTAGGAAGAGCTCCTCCAGGAGTATCCACTCTCATTCAGCAGTTAAAAGAAAAATTTTTTTTTTCTTTTAAGATTTTATTTATTTATCTGACAGAGAGAGACACAGCGAGAGAGGGAACACAAGCAGGAGGAGTGGGTGAGGGAGAAGCAGGCTTCCTGCCAAGCGGGGAGCCCAACAAAGGGCTCCAGCCCAGGACTTTGGGATCATGACCTGAGCTGAAGGCAGCCACTTAACCAACTGAACCTCCCAGCGCCCCAAAGAAAATTCTAAAAGATTTTACTTTTGAAGGAAAACCAAGGCGGTAATCTGATTTTTTTCATGCGGAAGATAAAGTGACAATGATGATTTTATAGGATTTAATGCCACAAAGTTTTGTTTTTTTTTTTCTCATCTCTCAAATTGCTGAGCACGGTTGTCTCTCAGTAAATGTTGAATTTATCTGATGTAAATAAAACATTGCTCTTACTCTTAGAAAGCATACAGGTCAACAGAAGAAATCATATTTATAAAAAAGCTACAGAACAGACAGTAGTGGCTCTAATACAAGCTGCTGTACATTAAGTGCTATTATAAAGGCATAAATAAATTAGGATAGAAATATTATGTTGGGTATGATCAACTCTGAGCGAGTAGTAGCTGTTCTGTTTATGAATATTTATTGAATTTCTTGAATTAGATCTTACTAACGTTGATGTGAAGGCTTCGGAGAACTGAGGAAGTTAGTGGGAAGGAAAACCCACTGGATTTGCACACTGAAGTCTTTGGCTGTTTCATCTCTTGCAAAGCAGTTGCAAATAATTCTGAAATTTCAAAATCTTAGCTTGTTTATCCGACTCTCTGGGTCTATGTGACAGTTTTCACATTGTCACATATCCACCCAGGAAATCAGTATGGATTGTTCCAGGTTTTTTTCACAGTAAAATTTGTTAATCTTTTAAGATTACCATGAAAAAGAGTTGTCATATTTTTCTATACTCTTATTTTTATTGTATTTATAATTTTAGTAATTATTTTAAAAATAACAATCAAGAATATAGTTTTCAATTTAAAAAATGGCTTTTTGAAACCCTTTCTTTCATGATGACAAAGCAAATTTACTGCTAAGCTTTAAAAGCATTTTTATGTTGTAAAGCTATTAGCAAATACCTGGAGATCTTTCTAAATGCTCTGATGCTTTGGAACCAGCAGAGGGCATTAAATTGCCATTAATGAACAATCATTTGACTCCTAGTTATTTTCTCCAGGTCTGTGTTTTTAAAGTTAGGATGAAATGCCAGTACATCAGAGGTAATTATTTCACTGTCACGTAAGCTTGCATAGACATCTGATTGTCCTAAGATCAGCTAGATCTATTTCATAAAGCTATACAGTTCACAGAAAACAGTTAATAATGTTGCAACAGACAATCAGTTTAAAGAAATTTAAAATTTCTCATCACGGGGAAAAATGGGTAAGTATGTGAGGTGATAGATGTTAACTAAATGTATTGTGGTCATCTTGCAATGTATGTATATCCAATCATTGCATGTACACCTAAAACTGACACAGTATATATCAATTACATCTCAACAAAACTGGGGCTGCGGGGGAAGACAGTACAGATCAAATTAATGTGGCTGTGGGGGGGACAGTACAGATAAAAATAATGTAAAATATCTCATTAATAATTTCATATCAATTATGTGTTGATAGGATAATATTTTAGGTAGATTGAATTGAATAAAACACATTATTGAAATTTAAAAAAAGAAATTATAGGACTAACACTGGTGGCTTCCACTGAGAGGGGATGGACTAGATCATCTATAAGGCATCTTTTAGCTTTGATTTTTACTGATTCTAGGACTCAGTCGGTCAGTCAATAAGATATTATTGAGCACCTACCATGGGCCACACCAGGCGCCATTCTAGGAATTGAGATATATCGGTGATTACTCAAGATCACTGCCTTCACGGAATCAATATTCCAGAAGGCAGAGACAGGCAGTAAACAACAGCTATAATAAAGAATGTGAATGGAAAGAAACAGAGCAGAGTATGGGGAATTGGAGTGCTGGGGTAGGGGTCGGTTGCAAGTTTTATAAAGATAGACAGGGTGGACCTCTGTGGGGACTTAAAGGAGATGAGGGAGTCAAGTCGTAATGGTATCTGGAGGGGAAGCAGTAGACACAGAGGAAAGGCCAACCATACAGCAAAAGCTTACTCTGACATTTGTAGGAGCAAGGAGGCCAGGGTGCCTGGAGCATGAGTCAGGGATTCGGGGGTGGGGCTGGGGGTGAGATCCAACGCAAGGATTTCAGCTTTTATTTTTAAAAGGTGGAGAGCCTCTGAAGGTGTTTGAGCCTAGGATTTCATGATCTGACTTAAATATTTAAGATTTATTTTATTTATGTATTTATTTATTTTTGGCAGAGAGGCAGGCAGAGACGGGGGGGTGGGGGGGCTGTGGGGGGGCAGTGGGGGGTGGGAAGCAGGCTCCCAGCTGAGCAGAGAGCCCACTGCGGGCCTTGATCCCAGGACCCTGGGATTGTGACCTGAGCCGAAGGCAGAGGCTTAACCCACTGAGCCACCCAGGCGCCCCTGACTTAAACATTTAAAAGATCACTGCAGCTGCTACGTGATTTGCAGGTATTCATGCAGACAAGTATGGAAGTAGAGACCAGCTAAGGGGCTATTGCAGTATTCAGATGAGAGATGACGGTTGTGCCCACTAGGGGGAGCAATCTCATAGAAGGTGTAAGAAGGGGAGAGATTCTGAGTTGTGCAGGTGATTCCATGGGGGAAGGTGAAAGGAGGAGTTAAAGAGATAAAGTTGCCCCCACCCGGGAGGGAGAAGATGCAGGTGGATCAGGTGTAGATAGAAGGTAAAACCTTCAGTTTTAGTGAGAATACCTCTGTGATGTCTGACATGCGTCAAAGCAGAGATGTGAAGGAGACAGAGATACCAGTCTGGATTTAGGGAGAGAAGGCTGGGCTGGAGATGTCAGTTTAAGAATTGTCAGTGTTTGCACAGTATTTATCCATGAGCCTGGATGGAACTGCCAAGGTTTGAGTTAAACAGAGAAGATCAGGGGCGCCTGGGTGGCACAGTGGTTAAAGCCTCTGCCTTCAGCTCAGGTCATGATTCTAGGGTCCTGGGATGGAGCCCCGCATCGCATCAGGCTCTCTGCTCAGCAGGGAGCCTGCTTCCTCCTCTCTCTCTGCCTGCCTCTCTGCCTACTTGTGATCTCTGTCAAATAAATAAATAAAATCTTTTGAAAAAAAAAAAAAAAACAGAGAAGATCAGAGCTTTTAGGACAGAGCCCTAAGGAGAGGAATTGGTACAGCCAGTATGGACAATTTGTTTGAGGGGTTTTGCTAGAAAGGAAGTCAAAAATATAGAGCAGTAAGCGGTGGGAGTGGTAGGGCCAGCAGAAGTGTTTTGAAGATGGGAGATATTTCAGCATGTTCCTATGTAGATGGGAATGATCCAGCAGAAAACAAAATCTTGTAGGGAAGAATGGGGAGATTTGCGGGAATGATGTCCTTGGGAAGGCATTTGAGTCTTATGCACAACTGGATGGACTGGCTTATTTGGAAGCGCGCATAATTAATCTGTGCTGAGAAGTGGAAAGGGTGAGTGTGTTGGCACAGGTGCTGTGGAAACTCTTCTGATTGCTTTACGTCTTGTTAAAATAAGATCAAAATTAAGAGGAAGGCAAGCCATAAGTGATGCTGAACTCTTAAGAAACAAACTGAGGGTTGGCAGAGGGAAGGTGGGTAGGGGGATGGGGTAACTGGGTGAGGGACATGAAGGAGGGCACTTGATGGAATGAGCACTGGATGTTGTATGCAACTGATGAATCACTGAATTCAACCATTGAACCCAATAATACAGTGTATGTTAACTAAATTGAATTTAAATAAAGAATTTTTAAAAAGAAGATTATCATTCACAAACAGACTGGGGAGTAGGTGTTAGAGTTTTTAGGGAAAAGGAGCAGGAGTGAGCAGACATTTGGGGTGCGGGGAGGAGTGGGAGAGCACAGTGACTCGGGGACAGTCATTCCATTGCAGGTGGCATCAAGAGGGGCACTTGAGGCTTGTGCTCACGAATGTAAAGTTTTGGTCAGGCAGCATGGTTGTGTTGAAATCCGATTTTTTAAGAACTACAGATAGTCACTGTTCCCAATAACAGTGATGTGTGATGTCTCTTATTTTTAAAATAACTTGTCACTGATGTATAATATACAGAGAATAAAGATAGGCAAATTTATTTTTTATTTATTTTTACTGTCTCTTCTGTGAATGGTAATAAATGGGAAATTGCCAAAAGTGAGCCTAAAAGAGAGAGAGGAGAAACAAGCTTTGTAAACCAACCCTGAATAATCAAGAACACCCTCACTTCTGTCTTTACACCTTTGAGATCCAGTCACTGGTCTGTAGTGAGCATCCGTTTTGTGCAAAACACTGTCTTCAGCAGGAAGAGGTTGAACATAAAGTCAGGCCCCTTCCCTTGTGGAAGAGAGATGATTTGCCAGTGTTTCCGGTGTGCCTAGAGACCAGACCACTCTAGGTCCGTGTGTTGAGCTGTGAGCCCAGAGAGAATCCTTTGATTTGGACTCCTCTTCGGGTGTCTGGTTGATGCACAAATTGTCCTGTGCTTACATGAAGGTGGAGGGCACGCTCTCCCCAGGTCTCAGGAGCTGCTCTGGCGCGTGGGCTCTATGTGCACTGATGCCTGTCTCTCTCCTCTAGAGGCTGACTGAAAGTCTGCCGCCATCACTCTGAACTCTGTTCTTGCTTTCCAGGGCTGGGGAGCTGAGTATCATCGCCAGGATGTCACGAGTACTCCCTGCTGGATTGAGATTCATCTTCATGGACCACTGCAGTGGTTGGACAAAGTTCTGACTCAGATGGGCTCTCCACATAACCCGATTTCTTCAGTGTCTTAACAGCCGGTCATGTCTTAATCCACAGTTCTGTAGAGTAAATGCTATTGCAGGCAGTGGCTTAGATACCATTTCAGATTTGCAACTAACTGAAGTTTCTAAGTACATAATGTAAATACATATAATATATACTCTTCATTTTTTTTTTATCACCAGTTAATTTGCACTAGAATTTCTAGTTAACCTGATGCTGATGCCGGCACGACATGATTAGGAAAGCAGGTTTTTCATGCCAATGCTATAATAAGAAGCAGCTTCTTTTGTGGGAGGAAACAAAGGAAAAGCAACCGTGTCGATAGAATTTGAAAAATGTTGGCAGAAAAAAAGTCAGCGTTAGTCAGCCATGTCGTTATAAGGTATGTTGTGTGTCCTATCAGAAAAATAACGAAACTGTATCTTACAAATTGGGGTACGAGCAGCACCAGAGCAAGTAACGCTTTCAGACAAAAGAAAGCAGTCAAACCCATAGCATTTAAACAATCTCACTTTTAGTGCTATTGGCAAGAAGGGGGACAGGAAAACACCAAGCTTGTAAAATTAGTTATGTAAGATAAGTCACGTAAATTATTTCCAAGTTGAAATACCTATAGCTGAACTATGGTGCTGATATTAATGGTACATTTGAAACAAATTTAAACTGTGATTGGAAAAGAGACTGTGAAGCTGGGAGTCATGTTGCCTCATGATCCACCACTATTAAGAAGAAAATAATGAGTCTAATACATGGGAATATTCATATGAAAATGGCATGAAATGAGCTCTATTCCCAAATTGCAAAGTAAGAACAGAACTTAGTCCAAGAATCACTCAGGAAGACTCTTGCTTTCCACATTGGAAATCGGGCCCCTGTTTTCCTGGTTATTCCACTCAAGCAGTCTGGCAGACATCAGAGTCTGCCCAGTGAGCTAGAGGACTTTGTGTGTAAATTCTAGGTGGGGAAGAAGCAGTAAAGGAAGAGGGTTGGACGAAAGCATTGGTTGTTTTCTCACACCTTCTCACATTCCCATTAGAAGACTTCGTGGCGAGGGCACTCCTTTTGCCTACATGTTGGCACATACTATTTACAGATGACTAAAACGGTGGTGAAGCCTTTGAGAGAATCTGGACATATTGCTGGAGTCACATTTATGGGTTACGTAACTTGGTGTCTCGATCTGCTGGTCACGGCTGTTAGCCTCTTACAAAGCTGAAGCCTCGTACCTGGAAATAACTTCCCCAATAGAATAATAATTTCATAACCCCTGTAATTTCTGGGGAACAGTGGTACTGAAGAAAGGGACATTTAAAAAAAATATATATATGGTATTAAAAACCTGTTCTTATTTACTCTCAGATGATAAAGAGAGGAGAGGAAAATTCCCCACATTTCTAGGTACTTTCATATAATATATATATATATATATATATATATATATATATATATATATATATATAATTCCCACCCACTAAACACTGCATTGCTTCAAAAAATATTTCACACCCTCTTAAAAATGTATAATTTAAGAAGGTAATTATGCTTGTAACAGACGGTACTTCAGTAATCCAAGAGGTTTCTTCATTTATGCATTCTGTCAACTCTTTTTAGCTTTAGTGCACACAATAGTTGCTTCTCATTAAATCGTATTTAAGGTAGAAATGATCCTGTGAAAAAGATATGCAAGTGAGCTCCTACTGTCACCTCTTGTAAGAACTAGTGTTATCTAATAGAAACTTTCATATATGCAATAGAAAACAGTACATACTACGTTAAAACTAGGTGGTCCATTTAGTGTTTAGAAAACCCCGTAGTTCCTTGGTTCAACAACTATGTATTGTGCCCCTATATGGGCTGGGTACAGTGTTGGGTAACTGTGGAATCAGATGCAAACCAGAAGCAGCCCCAGGCTCTGGAGCTAAGAGTCTGTTAGTAAACCTGTGTAGACATCTTCATGTTTCAGAACTTTTAAAACACAACAAAACCTATGATCTTTCCTTTGCTTAGAAAGCTATAACTCATTTCTTAATTATTTCTGTTTTGAAACTTAGTTCCCTTCTCTTCTGAGCAGTCAGGTAAGAGATGAAGTCTTCCTTGGAGAAATGCTACTTTTCTTCTGTGCCCCAAAGTTGTTTGTTTTCTCGCCTGACTTCCCTGTTTTCCAGGTTTTTCCCTTTTCCTCTTTTCTTGGAAAAGGCATTAATACAGTGAGTCTTCCTCACATGAGTACAGCTCTGTGAGTGCATAAGGACACATGATTTTTCTCAAGAGAGCTACCATAGCTTTCTTGATCTCTTCACAAATGCTCACTCATCCTCTGGTAGTGATAACCTTATACCTTTGCAGAATTAATCATAACTGGTTGCTTATAAATTACATTAAGAAAGTTAAGTAACCTGGATGGCCATGCACGTTTGGTAAAACCAGAACAAAATATTCCAGGAAGCCTGTGCTCATCCTTTGAAAAACAAATGATTAAAGTGGTACATTTGCATCATCACTGGTCCTGTCTCTCCAAAAGTCCATATTCGGATAGGAGTGAAATTCAGAAAAGTTAACCCTTCGGTCACTGTAACTAGTCACCTTCTCATCAGCCTTTGAACGTTTTTGCTGTCAGGAATTGTCCAAAGTTGTAATGTAGCATTTTTTTTCAGACTTCCACGTTTGCTCATGTAGCATTCATTCCTTGAGATGGACAGTCCCCCCAAAAATGTAATAGCATTCTTTTAGAGGATAACTAGCAAAGTGGACATGCTAAGCCATTTAAAGGCACCAACAACGCCACACATTTTTAAGGTTGCCTTCGACAAGGGTCGTGCAGTAGAGAACAATGTTTTGGCCTGCTCTGGAGACCCAGAACATTTACTGTGTTGTTCAAGCCTGTTTTCTATTCTTTTCCTGTTTAAAAATTGAGGTATGAGAAGTTTGTTTTAGTTAGATGGTATTTTTACTATCTCCCAGTGTTTTGGAACTGTAAAGATGTCATTTTTCAAGTTACCTTTTTTATTTTTATTTTTTTTTTTTACATTCAGTATAAATCAGGAAATGTTGAACAACAAAATAGCACTAGCACTTAGAATCCCTTTTTCATTTTCTTCTAAGGGATTAAATGCAACAACAAAAACATTTTATAAACATCACCTGCTAGACTTTAAGCACTTGTTTAATTTTGAGTGTGTCCTGAGTATTTGGATATATGTATTCAACAACTAAAGCAAACTATAACGTGCATTCCAAATTTGTCTTCCCCTGTTATGATTTTAGCAGTTGAACCGTATGACAAGACTGGAGGATCCTGACATATGTTCAAATTAATGTAACACAAACCAACAAGAAACTATTTCTATTTAACTAATGCTTTTGTCGATCATATCTAGGCTTCAATTATCCTTCAAATGCACACTTATACTGTTATGTGATTGTTTATAATAAACAATGCTGTACCTATATGGTTCTGGCTCATTTTTCCCTACAAACATTATAGAAAGGTCACTGCATATGGATTTTAGGTGATCTTAAACCATCTTATTTTGAAAATGAGATGCTTTTAAAATCCAATATGCTATAGAGAAATTAAGTAATGATTTTCAATTAAACATCTTGGTGTCCCCAGCATTAAGTATAGAATCTTGGAGATACTTTGTGGTAATTTTAGAGAGGATATCATAGAAGCTTTTTTTCTGGATAGTGGTAAATATTAAGTGATATTGTGATATAAAGGAAAGAGCAATTTTATTATTGTAAACATCTGTTCGTTGTACATATATATTATGTACCAGGAAAGGTGCTAAAGATGACTCATGAGGAAAAAATAAAATAAAATCCAGGAGGAAATTCTCAATTCCCTCCATTTTCTTCTAGTCTTAAAATGGAGGGGGGAAAATATGTCAATATTTCAAGAAAGCTTAGCTTTCCTATTAAACTTGATCAAAGTTTTCCTTTTTTTATCATTTTAAGAAATGCACCCTTTATTCAAAGAGGTATTTGTGGACTTCAAAACTGTAAATGAATGAAAGGCTGTTGTGGTTCAGATGTAGGCAGGGATTAGGAGACCTCCCATTTCAGCTGTGAGTTTATAGAGAACCATGATTCCATCTTGTCTGCTTTTGCATCTTCTTGCCTCTAATATTTGGTATTGGCATTTCAAACACTAACTATACAGATTGTTTTTAATACATCATGGCATAGACATACAAGACAGTCTTTAAACATTGACTTATCTTTGAGAAGGGATATTTTCATTTTAGAAACCTGTGCATATTCTTTTATCAGATGGTTCTTATACGTCAGCCACTGTAGATGCAACGAGAGATAACAGTTTCTGCCTTTAAAGGAATTTACAAGTTTGTGGAGGAAGATGAACGAGTATGCCAGCAAAGGTCAGTGCACTGTTGGTTGTGGCAGCTTGCTGGGGGAACAAACAGCAACATCTCCATCAGGCCCTGGGTGGGTAGCTGGTAAGGCTTCTGGGCCAATCCAACTTTCTTCCTCCCCATTTCCCTTAGCAAGTCACTCAAGACCCTCCTAAGCCAGGTTGGATGCCTGCTCTCTGTGCTGCTATCATATTTGTGCTCATCAATGGTCAGTTATTAATTCCTGCACCACACTGTTTACTTGTCCAACTGTCTACAAGACTGGGAGCTCTTGAAGGACAAGGATTGTATCTGTTCATGTTTATCATTTTGCAGCTATTGTTTAGAAAGGCATTTGGGATTCACATTGTAAAAGCAGAAATGATATGTTTCCAGTTCCTCTTTTTAAAAATCAGCAATTATTTCATCTCTCCTCTTTTTAAGAAATATTTTATTTATTTATTTATTTATTTGAGAGACAGAGCACAGGGTAGAGGGAGAACTGGACTTCCCGCTGAGCAGGGAGCCCAGCGTTATTGGGCTCCATCCCAGAACCCTGGGATCATGACCTAAGCCAAAGACAGATGCTTAACTGACTGAGCCACCGAGGCTCCTCTCATTTCTCTTTGAAATAAAATAATTGCAAGCCTCCAATTGCATGTCCAGTGACCTTGCTCTACTGGTGGGGTAAGAGAAGAATGCATATGATTTGGTTTGGAAATAGTTACTCAGCTGCCTGCAGTAGCAAAGAAAGGTAGCTTTGACAGTTAAACAGTTATCATTGTTTTTAGTCCAAGCACTTATTTTCAAAATGTGAATTTCAGTAAAGATTAGGAAGAAGCATAAGGAATTCTGATGGGGCAACCAGGAGTTGCAACTGCTCAGCTCCAACCTTACCTGCCAAAGCAGCTGTAAACCGTATGCACACAGTGAGTGTGGCCGGGCTCCTGTAAATGTAAAATGTGAATTTCACTATTTTTCACATGTCCGAAAACATGTTCCTTTTGATTTTCATCAACCATTTAAAAATGTAAAAACTATTTTTATTATTTTTTAAAAAGATTTTATTTATTTATTTGACAGAGAGATATCACAAGTAGGCAGAGAGGCAGGCAGAGAGAGAGGAAGGGAAGCAGGCCCCCCGCTGAGCAGAGAGCCCGATGCGGGACTCGATCCCAGGACCCCGAGATCATGACCTGAGCAGAAGGCAGCGGCTTAACCCACTGAGCTACCCAGGCGCCTGTAAAAACTATTTTTAACCTGTGGCAGAACAGAAACAGGCTGTGGGTCAGTTTCGGCCTGGGGCAGGGTGTCCTACTTTGCCAAGTCTTACTTGGATGACTGAGAGGCCACCCTGTGTGTTCCAGTCACAGCTGTGCTCCCTCTGAATGCAGCCTCATGAGACACCCCAAGCCCGATCACCAGAACCCCTTAGCTGAACTCAGCCAACCCACAGCATGTGAACACGACAACGGAAAGGTGGTTATTTTAAGCCATCATGCTTTGAGGTGGTGTGTTGGATGACTGAAACGGCGGTCCTCACCGTTGCTCTTATGCTGGGAATATTGATGAGACCTTGTCTTTGATTCAAAAGGAGGTGAGAGAGCTGCTTCTCACCACATTCGGGCATGCCTGTCTGAAAGCACCTCCCATGTATTCCTGTGTGGTTGCTACTCTGGTTTTGATGAGTATTCAGACTCAAGGTGATTTGCCAGTTCATTAGCTACATAGGAGATCTCTGTTCAAAATACTTGTGTCTCTCTCCTAGACTACGTGGGAATGCTTGCTATTTTGGTTGTTAGAAATAGATCAGTTCCTGCTTCCAATTATTAATAGCAGAGGTGAGCTATTCCATTTCACACCGAGGGTACAGTGTAGACAGAAAAGTAGCACTGGTTTCTGAGGACACTGCTGGTCCTGTGTTGCTGTGTTGGCACAGTCACAGCATCTGACCTTCACCTTGCATCTAGTGGAGTTCAGGCCCAAGTGCTTATTGGTCA